ATGGTAGAATGGACATAAATTGTTGTGGCTGCCAAGGTGGTTTGATTTTTTGTTGAAAGGATTAAATTCTTACCATTTGGGTTGCCAACCCCTGCCCTGTATGTACCTCTCAGCCAGGAATGGATTTAAAAATACATATTTTAGACCAGAGTCTGATCACAAAACTATGATAATGCCCCAAACATCAGGCAGCCAATTCATCTTTTCATGTGATAACATTCTGTGATGGAGCTTTTAGAGGCATTGAACTCTTCAGACGTCTGGTTCCTATCACCACCATAGTGAACAGTTCTGGCTAGTCTCTCTAGTTTGACATCCGACCTCTATGAATGATAATTGCTTTGTTTAAGAAATTAAAATGGATAAAACATTCAATATTTCTCCGATGACATGACAGAGTTTCAACGAAGCCAAATGACAGTGTAGCTAAAAAAACGATATATCACCTAGATGCAGACCTGGTTTTATGAGCTGTCCAGATGTTGGCATAAACACATCAAATGTAACTGTTCCAACCTACAACTCCCCACTGGGTGCAGAGCATCATTTAAAAGCATTCAAAAGAATATCATAGGCCAAAAATGCCCAAGAATGAGATTAAAACAGTGAATGAAGACCAATAACGAATAAAAGCTTCAGGCAAAGTGGCCCCAATACATTAGTATTAAATGTTAGCGATAGCATAATTTCCCATGCATTCCTTTAACAATCTTTAGTTTCATCATTTCAGATAGGAATCTGTGGCATCCGGAGGCCTAATGGAGCCCCCCATTTAAACAATACCGTATTAAAAAGAGAGAGAGAGAGAGAGAGAGAGAGAGAGAGTAAAAAAGAGAGAGAGAGAATAAAAAAAGAGAGAGAGACAGAGAGAGAGAGAGAGACAGAGAGAGAGAGAGAGAGAGACAAGCAGGCAGCAGCGCCGAGGATCATTAAACAGCGCTGTACAGCATAACGACACGCCAGCAAACAGAGAGAAAACAAAAAGCAGCCGGACCGTTTCTCATCATACAATAGAGCCTTCCAGGCCCCCCATTCAGCCCCCCCGCGCCCCTCCTCTGTGTGTCTCTCCCCTGATCAAAGCTCCAGAGTGACAGACAGAGCCTCATCACACCTTTCGTAACGCCTGACTCAGGTGGGTTTTATGGTGCCAGATAAAAGCCGACAGCTTCATCACGGTTACGTGTGCTTCAACTACGACCGCAGTGATTAGCTGATGAAGTCAATTAGACATTGATAACAAGATTATGGTATTTTAATCTTCATATGATACATATGACTGATTGCAGTACACTACAGGAAGCACAGGGGTGATGCTGCATCCATTGTTTTATTGCACCATAAAAGGAGGAGTCGTTTGTTGCACAGACTTAACTTTGACGACACCACTGTGACGGGACAAAGTGAACGGAAGCAGCAAAAGGCATCACTGTTCGAATGGTTGATCTGAATCAATAAGTCATTGATCAATTAAAGAAATAATCAGTAGTCGCAGCTAGCTAGTGTCCATATGTGTGTCACAAAATTTTAGCTGTCCAAGTCTAAGCTGCCAAATACTTAGGCCCAATCCCATTTCACCCCTTGCCCCACCACTCAGCCCTCTGTTTTGCATGTTCATGTCTAGGGGTAGGGTGTCCCAATGTTTATTAAGATAGAGGAGTATGGCGAAGTGTTAGGGATCTTCTTGCCAACGAAAAGGCCTTGAACTCAATTTATAGAAAATAAATCACATTTAAATCATAACTGTAACCCCTCCAATTAGATATATTTGCCAAACTGTTCTGACCTACGTAAAAAGTTGATTTTAAAAGCTAAAAATAATTGGGAAAATAATTTGGGTCGGCTCAAATGAAAATCATGTGTTTCTGTAATAACTGTGTTGGCCTTAACTGCAGCACTACTTGCTGCCTTCATCCAGATAAAGTACCTTTCCTCTGTAATAAGATCCCTGAAAGGCCATCCCAATCAGAATTGGCTGACGGGGGTCATTCATGATTGATTGCTAAGCTGTCAAGACGATCATATGAACGCTGGAGGTAGAATGTCTTTTGCGTTCATTTGATTGGCTGGTTATTATATGTCTTTCCATGCCCCGCTCCCTGTCCCCTGCCCCGAGACTGTCCTGTACCGGCCACTGCTCTTAAAATAGACATCAGCACAATCCTTCAATGCACAGCCCCTACGACACAACACCGCAATAAAGAGGTCCAATAGGGCTGCAGTGATTAGTTGAAGAAAGTCAATTAGTTGTCACTGGGATCATTTACGTTGAGGTCTGTAATAAGTTCTGTATAATGTTCACATTATTTTATATAACCCTTTATTAATGTTTATGACACATTCTATAAGGTGCTATCAATGTTCACATGACACATATGACTATAATGTTGACGTAGGTGACAGACTGCTATATACTACAGGAAATGTAGGCATGTTAGGGTGGAACTGAACTCAGCAGGAAGGAGGGCTGGTGAACGAATTCTGGAAGAAAAATAAACGGAGGAACTGCTTCTCAGTCAACGTGATGCTTCTTGGTGCTCACAGTTGCAAAAAACATACAAGTCAACTAATGTTAGCTAGCGGAGCTACACATTCCTTTCAAACCCACCTTACACCCACTCTCGCCTGCTTTCTGCTGTTCCCTGGCGAAGAAGAATAGCGAGTCCACAGGCCGGTGTGACCACGGCATTAGTTTCAGACTCAAGACTTCGTGTTGTGGATCATGTCCGGCTCAAAGTTATTGGATTGTATTTGGGTTCGGGCTAATATTTTAGGCCAGATTAAAGCTCTAAGTCAGAGGTCGGTAACTTGCTGCTCTGGAGGCACATGCAGCTCTTTTACTGCCCTGTTGTGGCTCCACAGAATTAGATTTGTAGGTAAAAATAAAATAATCCTCCTTTACAGTAAAATAAAGCTCTGCTGATCGTTCAACACAGTTTAACAATAAATGGTCTTAAACGCTGGAGTTAATGTAGAACTGCTGATTCACCCTTTAACCCTGAAGGCTGGCGCGCAGACTACTGGTCACCAAAGCAGCACAGACAACAGTCTCGCCTAGCGAGTAGCTAACGAAACGGCAAAGAGAGAGATTTAAGACGAACATTGATTATTTGGAGACGAATGGACTTATTTGTATTTATAATCACTCCAGCTGGTTTCCAGATACGTTTAAACTGTCAAACACAAAGTCGCAAAGCTGAAGTCAGCTTCTCATTCAAATTTTCCCCTTCCACCTTAAATGTTGCCTGCTGTACAATTTAAGGTGGAACGGGAAAAATCAACCAAGATGCTGGTAAATGAGAGGCTGACTTCAGCATCGAACGTTGGGGGGGGTTATTTTCCAAGAAACTGTTCTACTTTTGGAAAAGTTTCCTGCAGAGATGTGAGAAAAGCGTCTGTAGCTGAGCTAAAGCTTAAAGCAACGTAAGTCTGCATTTTTATTTATATTAAATTTGTTAGCCTATACTAACACATTAGCACATACTGAGACACAGTGATATCAGGGCTCCCAAGGTGGTTTGATTTTTGCTGAAAGGACAAACTGGCTCTTCTTAACATTCGGGTTGCCGACTCCTGTTCTAAGCATTAATGACCAGTCAAGGTTATTCTGAATTAAAAACAGAACTCCTAAGAAGGAATACAGGTAGAGCACAGCACTTAAACAGACACATACAGCCCTGCCGGATGTTTCTCCCAAATGTTAAAACTGACCCAAATGTCTTTTTACATGCTCTGGAGTCTGGCCAAGTCCTGCTGAGCTTCTGCCAGGAGCAAGGAAATGAAAGAGAGAGCACAAAGTGAAAGAATGACGTCTGAGCTCTGGACTCCTGCCAGGACACACTTCCAGGTTTTTTCCCCCTGGCTGACAGCAGAACAGCAATAGAAGAAGTTCAGCATGACTTAGACTTCCGCATGGTCTCTGAGATTAGGCCACAGGTAAGAGGTCTGAGGATAAAACAGTGTTGGAACCACTCAGGCAAGCGCAACTCTCCTCACTAAACTCTGAACGTCACTGTATTCTATCAAATACAAGTAATCGAGTAATCTAGCGATTATTTTGACGATTAATCGAGTATTCACACTAAATTTATGACAGCAAACATATAGAAATAATATAAACAAATAGAGACATATGTGCATTAGTGGGATCCTGCTGGTGTGGGTTTCCTCTCTTTCAATGATGTTCAGGAAATCCATTTAGGCTCCAGCAGTCCTACCTTGCAGCCAATGTTCAGACTGCTGAACACAGATTTATAACGATCCAATTTATCATTCAAAGCACACTTCACCAAGAATATATATTTTTAATCAAGGAATCAGTTCTGATAGACTATAATACACTACAAAAAGCATTGGGAGTGATATGCCTTGATAGTTTTATCGCACCACAAAAGACGAAATTGCTTGTTGCACAGCTAGAACTTGACAAAGGCATAATGGTTTGATTAGTTGATTAACTGAATAATAGCTAGTAGAATAATCGATTATAGAAATCATCAATAGTTGCAGTCCTATCCATAAAATACAATATCAACTGTTGCACAGACTGAACTTCAAGTGATGGCAGCACTTGGAGAGACTGGGGAGAAACTGCAGAAGGCATAATTCGATTAGTTGAATCACAGTCGACAGATTAATCGACTATATAAATAATCGTTAGCTGTAGGTCTGTAAGAAACCACTCATACACTGATGGCCCTTTGAACGACGGCAGACTGGTGGCGGTAAAATGAGAGGAATCGATTAGTCGATTAACTGAATAGTAGTTGACCGATTAATCGATTATAGACAGAGCTAGTTGCTCTAGTTAGTGGTCACATCAGCCTGTTTAATAGGAAACTGAAGAAGGCAAACTAGTTCAATTACTCAGTAATCACACAGCAGCCAAAAGAATTATCGATTTTTGGAAATAACCCATAGTTGCAGCCCCAGCTGTGAGTCACGTCAGCTTGTTTAACAACTCAGCGTTCAAGATTTGGGGAGGAATTCAGGGTTTTTCTTACCTGTTTGAAGTTGTCTTCATAGCTCCAGTCGGCCTGGCCATTAGGGGACGCAGCTGATGCTGGCTCCACAGGAGAGAGCCCATCTTCGGGCTCCTGTTTGACCCGGACAGGGGGTGATGGTTCTCTCTGGGTCCTGGGTGCTGGAGCTGGTGTCCCGGTGTAGCTCCCAAACGAATGGCCCTGCAACCTGGCAGCTCCTTGCTGCAGAGCCAACGTCTGCTTTCTCAAAAACTCCAAACCACTGACCGCACCATCCTCTTCCTCACTGGCTTCGTCCCCCTCCATCATCTCCTCATTATCATCATCATCAGCAGCATCATCGTTATCATCATCTTCGTCATCCGAGTCCTGGCCTCGCCCTTCCTTGGTGTCCAGTTCCGAGTCCGCTCTGGTGTGCCCCTGGGCCTTGGTGTCCAGACCCACCCCGGAGGCTCTGGCCGCGGCCAGAATGGCCTGCTGGGCGGCCACCTGTTGGGCGTACATGATGTGGGCCTCGCGGAGTCGCCGCTCCTTGCGCTCCATCTCCAGCCGCGCCTGCTGCTGCCTCTGCAGCTGCTCCATCACGGCCTCCAGCTTCACTCCCGCTATGCCCCCCTGAGGGTAACCACCGCCCCCCAAACTGCCCTCCTGAGAGACACAGGCAAAAAGGAAGCAACAAAGACGTCAATGACATGCCATAAAGGAACGACTCCAATTACATGCTACGAGCCTCTGACTGACCGATTTAGAATCTTATTTTCCCGCCTTCGTACTTCAAATACATTCACTGTGGACTACTGTGGTCTTATTACTAACCTCTGCAATGGACGATGATATTTAACTGGAACTAGTGATGCACATAATAATAATAGCTAGTAGAACAATCGATTATAGAAATCATCAATAGTTGCAGTCCTATCCATAAAATACAATATCAATTGTTGCACAGACTCAGCTTCAAGTGATGGCAGCACTTAGAGACTGGGGAGAAACTGCAGAAGGCATATTTCGATTAGTTGAATTACAGTCGACAGATTAATCGACTATATAAATAATCGTTAGCTGTAGGTCTGTAAGAAACCACTCATACACTGATGGACCTTTGAACGACGGCAGACTGGTGGTGGCAAAATGAGAGGAATCGATTAGTCGATTAACTGAATAGTAGTTGACCGATTAATCGATTATAGACAGAGCTAGTTGCTCTAGTTAGCAGTCACATCAGCCTGTTTAATAGGAAACTGAAGAAGGCAAACTAGTTCAATTACTCAGTAATCACACAGCAGCCAAAAGAATTATCGATTTTTGGAAATAACCCATAGTTGCAGCCCCAGCTGTTTTAACATCTGTATATATATATATATATATATATATATATATATATATATATATATATATATATAGCTGTTGTCGGAAGAAAACCTTGTATCTCCAAAATGGTAACTTTACAGGAGAAGGAAAAAACCTACTTTACTTTTAATGTAAGTCAATGGAACCAGAATTTTTTCCAAGTCAATTTGGGTCATTTCTTTTAGTCCATTCATCATGAAATTTGCACACAATTTGAAAATATCTATTGCCCTTTACGATGTATGTAAATTTTATGATCAATGGACCAAATTAAATGACCCAAAATCACTTGGTAAAAACTCTGGTTCCACTGACTTACACTTAAAGTATGTTTTTTCCTTCTCCTGTAAAGTTACCATTTTGGAGATACAAGGTTTCGTTCCGACAACAGCGTTCGGTGACTCTGGGCTAATCCACCAAAATATCAGCATTTTGCTCATTTTATTGCATTTGAATACTAATCCAGGCGGATCTAGTCCCAACATCTCCATTTTATCAATGTCTATGTATCGACATTATCCACATACGATTCCATCACCAAGACGTAAACAAAGTCATTCATGCTCCCTTCTAGAGAAACTGAAGAGTGAGAAATGTTCACAGTGGCGGTGATAGGAACCAGACGTCAAATTTAGAGTTCAATCCCTCTAAAAAGCTCCCTCACAGAAAGTGAAACAGTTACAAACACATCTAAACTTCGTTTTTAATATATCCATGGCGGAGGCATACAGACAGGATGTTATAGGGCAAAATAGTCCCCCAGTGCTTAATTTCAGCAAATGTATCACCATTTTACCATAAATATTACATATAAAATCTCAGAGGACTCGTGTAGGTTCACTGGGGGTTTTGGAGAGTAAATAAAATGGCTTTATTTGTGTCGTAGACCGCCCTGGTTCCTGTCACCACCACTGTATAGAAATCTGAATTCTACAGTGAGCTGTTTCACACTAAACCACTCTGAATGACTCAGTTCACATCTCAATGACTGAACTATGCAGAAAGTTTTAGTAAAAATTTTAAGACGCAAGTGTCTGAGTAGGGAAACCTCCAAACTGTGCTGGACTCAGGCTGCCCAGGACTAGAACTGGACATCCCTGCCAAGCACTGATTCAGACTGGACAGCTCTGTCCATCTGAAAGTCTCTGAATCCAATCAAGAGATCGTAATAAGACTCATTACATCAAAATCAAGACACACTGCATGTAACCAGTACAAGCCACAGTCGGAGTCTGAGACAGAGCCTAAAAATGGCTGTGTTTAGTCCGGGCTACTTTTCACGAGGCGCTGTGATCTCATCTGGCAGACCCCCGACACGCAGACGGGGGGTGCTATAAATTTCCACGACCCGCTTTGATCTCTACCCACACAGCACTTCAAACAAGCTTAAAAAACAAGGCGTATCTCGACGCAACCGGTCAGTATGGTGAACTGGCGCGGCACGGCGTACCACGGAGTCCGTACAACTTACTACGCAGTCACTCAAAGCGTGCGCGCGCGGAATATGCATTCCCTTACCCCAATAAAGATCAAAGTCTCGGTCCTAATCAGAGCAGCATGCCGAGCAAATACGCGCCGCGCGAGCGTAGTCAAGGTTCGATTAATGCACGACTAAAACGACTTTTTTTCTTTTTTGTGACTATAAACAAAAAAAGGCACGAGGCAGATCAATGACGCGCACGAGCCACCGGCGAGCTTTTACTACATGAAGTTTAGACGCCGCGCGCGACTCACCATTTGTGCCCTGCTGCTGCTGCTCGAGTTATCCACCATCCCTCCCTTCTTCCTCGCGCTCCTCTCTTCTGTTACTCCTGCTGCTCGTGCACGCGCTCAGCAATCGCTCCGCCAACAAACGCGAGAGAGAGAGCGAGAGAGAGAGAGCGAGCAAAGCGTGCAGTGAGCGCGCGTGCGTGCCAGCAAAGCTACTCCGTAGCGACAAAAATACAAATAAAAAGAAAAACAAAAAAAACACAGCGACGCTCGTGCACTCGAAGGTCGGCTCTCCGCTACGAACGGAGAGAGAGGGAGTGAGAGAGGTAGAGAAAGAGCGAGGGAGGACGGAAACGAGACGAGCGCGAGCGCGTAGCCTTCAGCTTACAACTCCCTGCGCTCGCTTTTCTTTTTTTTTCCCTTCCCCTTTGCAGTGCGCGTTCACACTCCTCCTCCTCCTCCACCACTCCTCCTCCTCCTCCTCCTCCACTCCTCCCCCCGTCTCGTGCCGAGGCGTCAGCAGGACCCGCCCCGCGGACAGCAACAAGTTCCGCAGCTCGAGCACGAACAGCGCTAAACAAACAAACAAACGGATGAATGAATAAAAAGTGGGCGGGGCTTCATGCTCAATGCAAAGCAGCAGAAGCAATTCAGTGTTATTTGAGCTTTAGATGCTTATCTGGGTAAACAGAGCAGTAGTTTAATCATATAATAATAATAATAATAATAATAATAATAATAAACCTCGTATCTCTAAAATGGTAACTTCACAGGAGAAGGAAAAAACATACTTTACTTTCAATGCAAGTCAATGGAACCAGACGTTTTCCCAAGTCATTTTGGGTCATTTCTTTTGGTCCAATCATCATATAATTTACACACAGTGTAAAGGGAAATAAGCATTTTCAAATTATGTCAAAAACTGAAAAATGACAAAAATGCACAGAGACGGCACAATGCCCAGCCCAGAGCTACTCCAACACCAAACACAGGGAGGGGGTAACTTTGGAAAACACAACATAAGTAGAGAGTAGACACTACTAAGCGCTAGTTACTACTAAGCCCTCCTCACACAAAATAAATACACTGATAAACACAGCTACTCCAACACATCAGCAACAACAGCAACAACGTCCACTGTAACTATGGTGCGGCGCCTCCCGAGAGCCACTTTGCATGGCTAAGCTCCCCGCAGTGGCACACAAACCATGGCGGACGCCGCACAGCCCCCTCTTCAAGGGTTGGCCTTCCTGGCGGCCCACACAGCCCAAACAAAGTCCCAGACAGCACAAGTGCCACAATCCTTGGCACAGTGGCTCCTCGGCGTACCCCACTCTGAGTGTGCTGTCTTCCTCTAACCCTGGTGGGCAGCCGAACACCAGCTCCATGGGCGTCCTCTCTGTTGGGGGCGTGCAACTGCTGCAGCGGTCCTTTCTTTGCCATGCACTGGTCATTGCAGCACACATCTTCACATCTATGCAGTAGCCCGGCCCGTAGAACCTCTGCCGCAACAGCTTCGGCCTCTTGCCCACACCGAAGTGCCCCACGCCAGCTGCCGCACACACCGCCCAGCACCGGCTCCTTCTCTCACAGTGGCACTTCAGGGGTTCAGTAGAGTTTAAAAGACCAGGGAAAAAAAAAAACTTAAAATATAAAATATGTCACACCTTTTGCACAAATCACATTTTATGTTTTATTATTTTTAAAATAATAATTACAGTGTGTTTTCTGTAGAGGATGAGTTCAATCATTTTCACTGAGAAAAGGCTGCAACTGGTTAATAATGAAAGAAGACAATAAAAAGAATTTAGAAAATAAAAAGAGTACAAGTGAAGAAAAAAGTGAAGAAAATAAAAGCCCTGAAAAGGAAGGAAAAACAATCATTTGATTTGACAAATTCTAAAAGATAAAAATAATAGCAATAAAAATAAATAATACAAAAGGAATCAGCAATAATGAAGTGAGTAAAACAAGAAACTGTAGATCAGCAAATAAAATATAACACTAAAATTTGTAGTTGATCATATATTTACATTAAAATCAATACATCAGAACATCTAGAGAAAAAATAAAACAAAGTTTTAATTTGCTTTTAAAAAACTATCCACAAACGTGAGATTAAAGACAAACTGAATTTAAGCCTTAATCGTCTCAGTAAAGCTTCTTGTGATTTAATGGGGAGTCATTTCTAACTGTGTAGCTCAAGCGTGCCCTCTAGTGGTGATTCTCGGTTAGTACAAAAACAACTGCATTTAGGCACCTTCGTCATGTCAGTGTTAACTCCCTCACAGAACCATGAACATTCAAAGAACCAATTACATGCTTAAATGGTTCTTTACAGGGTGAAGGTTCTTCAGATTGATGGAGAATGTATTGTATATGACTCTATATTTTTGAAAGTGGTTCTATATAGCACCAAAAAGGGTTCTACAATTGCTATGGTGCCAAGAAATCTTTTGATGCTACATAGAACTACAACACATTCTCCATCAATCTTAAGAACCATTTCACCAGGCAAAGGACTCTTTAAGCATGCAAAAGGCTCTTTGAGTGTTCATGGTTCTATATAGAACCATTGTCTTTGCTAAAGAACCCTTGAAGAACCATCTTTTTTTAAAGAGTGTTGTTTATTTTAACGGGCCCCTATAATTGGAAAGCGTTTGTTGTAAGATGTAAACATTGTTTAGGAACGATGAAAAAACGCGGAGTCGAAGAGTCGATTCAAAGCATTTCGACTCTTAGAATCATTGGCCAAGAGTCGACTCCGACTCCTACACCTGTTGGAGTTGAAGAATCGATTCTTTTGGAATCGACTCTTCATCACTACACACAGGCTCTCTGTCTCTCTCGCCCTATACTGTCTGTATGAGCTACAAAAGAATCAGACTTGCTCAAAACGAACCCTTTGACAACGCAATAGAACAAAGTACTTTTAAAGAACATTGGAAATAAATAACAGTAGTGAAAACTGGACTGAGTGCGCTAAATGCATGAACTTTTACTCTCCACTCGCCCCGAGTGTTTCACCTATAGATATACATACCTAGATGCCGCGTTGCCTGTTCTTCTCTCAGCGAGGCGATACGTCTGCGCGTCCGCCATGTTGGAGCGGTCAAGATCCGCTTGTGAACAGATTCACTTGTATTGAGAGACGATGAGTCTCAGGGTTAAATCGGCCACAACTTCCTTAACACTCAACTGATTTTCACCAAATTTGTTTGGTTATAATCCCCAGACATACAGTAATCTAGGCTGCACGAACTGCTCTTGGTGGCTTTTATTTCTTTATTCACTGATCGTGCTAATTAGCCGTCCAGACCAGCAGAAAAGTATTCAGTCTGCACCTGACGTTAAAAACCGAGTCACAAAAAACACAATATCATCAGGATACACCCCCCGTTCCCCCTTAAATGGTGCAGCAGTCGCTTTCTGGTGCCTGAGGCTGCACCATTTAAGGTGGAACGGGAAAATTTGAACAAGAAGCTGGCGAATAAGAAGCTAACATCAGCTTCGTGTAAGAAGATGCTAACGCTAATCTATTATGAATATCTACATTGATTAAGGAATGCTATAACTAACTGAGTTACAAAGCATCAACCATCACTGTAAATAAATAACTACTACATCAAGTTAAGACCCCTTGAATAGACTATTAAATGAAATAAGCTTAAAATAAAACCAACCACACGGCCATATCTACATAAACATCACACAAACATGAGTGTGGATCGCTGCGTTTCCTCTGTTATATAATCCTATCCCACTTTCTCAGAGCAACATTCCTGAAATAGTGTAATTTTGGACAGGATCTTTCTTAATCTGCCACTCTGTAATGATACTGAATGCAGTCCAGCAGCAATGTTGACCGCACTAAAATGGCGGCGCCGTTGACGTGCCTGACTGGACCCAACGCGGCATCTAGGTATGCATATCTGTCGCTGTGCCGGTGCCCTGCCGAGCTGTGCTACCTTTTCGAAATGTTCTGCTGTCGTGCTTATTTACAGGTATATCCGTAAATAAAACCTCTAGGTGGGATATTTTGATAGGCTAAAACTCCTTATCAAAAATATTACCCATGTTAAAACTACGAGGCTGAATTTAGCTTCTTTTTTCACAGCTTCTTGTTTGAATGTTCCCGTTCCACCTTAAATGGTGCAGCAGCTGAGACTAGCTATTACAAACACTAAAACAAGACAAAATACTGACCTGTTAGTTTTGTGAAACAGAAAAAATGAGTTAATGTTACTCTGTTAAGCGGAAATAGAGGAACCTCCTCATATCATGCCTCTCAACCCCCCATGAAGCTGAAGTCAGCTTCTTTTTCGCCGGCTGCTTGTTCGAATTTCCCCGTTCCACCTTAAATGGCGCAGTAACTCAGAACGTGACTGCTGCACCACTTAAGGTTGAACGGGAAAAGGCGAACAAAAATCTGGCGAATGTCCTCAGAAAAATGCTACCAGCATTAAAATAATAATTCATATTTCAGCTCTTTAATGACCTCGTAATTCAGAGGATCCAGTGGTGTTAGAGAGAAGAATGTTCACAGGACAAAACGTATCAAGACGTATCGGGTTCTGAACATTTTTATTTAACACAGGGGGCGCTAGAGGCGATTTTTCGGAAACCCTATTCATTCTGCCCATAGAGAAATGGAGCTCAGACCCGGAGATCCTAATATGGGCATAAGAGCATGGCGCCTGGGTCTGAAAGGATGTGTAGCTGACAAGAAGCCTTACTGAGAAAAGGAGACGGACACATCAAACAAAGAAGCTGAACAATGGACTGACCACCCCAGAGTCCAGACCAACATCGCTGAATGTGTTTGGAATCATGAGAAGCAGAAAACGCAACCAAGTTCTAAGACTGAAGCACTAAATCAATTAACTTTGACTTGACTTTAGTACAGTCATAGAAACTTGTGTCCCACCAATTAGCACCGCACAAACTGCACACCTAAACCGCTCACTTGCTTCAGACTGTGTTTAGTAGCCTCTAATAGACGTGATTATGTGGTCTCTGACACTGTATGACGTTCTGTTATCTCTGGTAAACAAGGCTGTGTCAGGTTGGTTAGAGCAGGGAACTCAGTTTAAACCATGAGCCCAGAGCAGTATTAGGCCATGATTTCAAAAGAAAAGGTGATGATTATATGTCTGATCTTCAGGCGGCATCTTCTTTAGGGATGATTCGTATGACATCATTCCAAGAAGAGCCTCAGGCAGCTCAGCATTAAGCTTCACAGACACAGATTAGGCCTAAACCTAGGCTTGTCAGGATTATCAGTGATGAATCAGCACTGGCATTGCAATTCAGCCCAAGGCTGGACTTGCTGGAAGGTATTTTGCATCGTTCTACCAAATTAAACCCAAGGCTTTAATTGAGATAGTAATAAATGAAGTTTATGCAAAAT